ACCTTTCCTCCCTGTCCTACCCCTCCTGTACAGCCTATAGTCCTTGATATTCACCACCCAATCATGCGTTGGGTCCCACCACGTTTCAGTGAGCCCCACTATGTCTGGGTTGGTGTTGGCCAGCAGGAGGGTCAGTTCCTCTTGCTTGTTTCCCATACTACGACCAATACCCTAGCTCTATCTTGAATTAGGAGCAACACAGGTGGGTTAATGCAAGCTTCCCCCCTTCATCTCTGCTAGTAGTGAGGAGAACTAGCAGAGCACTGTGAGAAGATCAAGGCTGGAATAGTAGGGGTTGTAGCAAGAGAGGGATGGTAGGGTACTGTTTATTTACTATGCCTGATAACTGTAGAAATTAAGAGAATTGATGGATGGATGTTGGCAAAGAACAGGAGCTGGCAAAAAAAAAGTGAGCACAATATTGTCGTATAGGAAAATGAGATGTCATCTCCTCTGGAAATGTTATTCATTGAATTACATGATTTGTGAGTATCAAAACTGAATATTTTTATTTGCATTTGATATTTTGAAATGAAACCTTAATTTTGAAATGTCAATTTGAAACAAGAGAATGTTGTTTTGAGTCGTCATGCCATTTCTATAGAACTAGTAGTTTTCTGTTGAAAAATTCCAGTTTGAAACATTCATCCATTTCCATTTGAAATGGAAAATGATTTCAAACTACTGAAATTTCCCTTGGGACAATAATTCCATTTCTTGACCATTTCTAGGTAACACTTGTCTCATTCCAGGAGTTGCAATTAGTTGCCCCTTTCAGAAACTTAAAAATAATATTTAAGTCATTGGCAGCATCTACACCAAAATCAGCCACCTTCTTGATACTTCAGATCAATCAGTCTCCATTTTCCTGCAGCTGATTAGTCCAAATCTAAACTAAGCCACACTCTTCCTGATATCAACATGTGCTACAGAAAGGGGACAGAGCCGCTTTAATATAAACAAGTAATTGATACTGCGTAGGTAGAGCACATACAGCATGAAACATGGCACCTACATGTCATTGCACCAATGGAAGGTCAGTGCTTTTCCAGGGGGAGCCAAAGGAATTCAGATTGAAAGCTGTAGCATTTTGCGCACTTCTCAGGACTGCAAACTGTTCATTTAGTTATGATTTGCCAGCTTCACCAGTGCCTGTTCTATTGATTTTTAATTTAGAAACATTTCTTAAGCATTCGCAAGCCTTTGAGTCAAAAAACAGACCATGAGTGAATGCCACAATAAATTAGTAAAGTTGGGGTTTGCACATGTTGTGTTTTCCCTCCAGAATTTAATTCAAAAGAACTAACTGCAGCCCAGTGCTGCTTCACGGGCAATGAGGCAAAGTCTAAGCATCTGTTTTCCTTTCTGGATCTTCACTGGGGCACATGTTTTTATTGATAGACAGAGATGCACATTTTTACTTGGAAAGGGCAGCCCTTGCATTGCTGTGCAGGAAACATTTCCCCTGCTTTTTGGTGTGTTCTTATGATTTATTGATTTGGGTTGAAAATGCTCTCTTTCAGCTAAAATCAATAAATCATATCTTGCCAAATAAGAATTTAGCTGTTTTGTTTTCCCTCCTGTCTTTCAATTGCTGACTTTGTTTGTTTGTTTGTTTGTTTGTTTGTTTCTTTAGGCTGCTTTTTCTAACATCCTCTGTAGCAGTTAGAGACATTTTTAAATAGCATCTCACGTATAGGAAGACAAGTCCATAAGAAATACACTGTGGTATATGCCTCCATTATCTTTCCAAACTTTTGTATAAACAAAGTGAAAGCCACATCAACAACTACCAGCATCTCCATTCTTAGTCCCAGCTGAGATTGACATGATTGCAGTGACAGGTTTATGGATCTTTACTGTGTAAGGACAGAGATGCATTTTAGGGGCTAAATGTAATATGCACAGGAGGAGAATCTGAAAGAGATTTCACGCAGTGGTGTTTCTTACTTGTTAAATGATGCTGTTCATGCTGATGTAGTGGTCCCTTCTGAACCTTGCTTGATTACACCACTACTTATTCAAGCATTATTCAGGTGAATGTCTTGGTTAGGTAGTCTTTTTAAGGCACTGTCTACTTGGGATTCAGCAGTCACAAGGATAGCTGCACTCCTATAAGCCCAGGATATGGACAAGAAAAGACACGGATAAAATGAGTGGAGTTTATTGCTGCTTGAAACTGGGATAAAAGTGAATTGTGAGACAGTCAGGCATTCTCAAAAGAAAAGTTGGCAACAAGGAAACTGGAAAAAAAAAAGAATTATAGTAAAGTCTGTCTGACAAACACCTGATTAGAAACAAGAACTAAAGTCTATAAATTGTGCTGGGAGAGATTTACTTGCTCCAAACTGCCTTATAATTAAACACTGTAAAAATTAAAAAAACAAAACAAAACTTTTACCTTGACTAGTTTAGTGGGCATGATCATAGAGCAGGGGTTGTCAATCAGGGGTATGTATACCCTTGGGGTATTTGGGACGGCCCCAAGGGGTACGTGCAGCGGCATGGGGAAGCAGCGTGGTGGCAGCACAGAGTGGTGAAGGGTGGTGGCAACCACTACATGTGAGCTCTGCCCCCCGCTACTGCCATTCACCACTGCGCGCTGCTACTGCACGCTGCTCCCCCACTGCTGCCATTCACTACTCCGCTTCCCTGTGCCACTGCACACTGCCGGCTTTGCATCCAGCTGACCGTCAGCATCCCTCCTCCCTGGCCTTGAAGGAGGTACGCTCCAGAAGGGGTACCCACCAGACGGGGTACACGCCTTTAAAAAGTTTGAAAAAAATGTGGTCTGCAGAGCCATTGTAGCGGCCCACAGGCCTTCCCACAGGTCCAGACATTTGACAGTGGGGGAGCAGTGGCCATTAATATAGCCACCCTGCCTTCCGCCAAATCCCCAAGCCCTTCATGGCTGATCAGAACAAACTTATGTCCCTTTGCCCTGCGGGGCTGGGCAATGCCCCCCACATCTCCCCCTCTCCCCCCCAAGTCTCTGCTTCTGGGTCAGGGCCAAGCCATGTCCCCCTCCCTCCCTGCAAAGCTGGGTTGGGTCCTGGCCTCAGCCCCTTCCCTCTGCAGAGCCAGGTTGAGCTGGGCTATGGTTCCTTCCTCCCTGTGGGGCTGGGTCAAGCTCCTTTCCCCTGTTGGGTTGTGTTGGGGCCGGCCTGCTCCTGGTTCCCCTCCATGCAGCCAAATGATGCCTGCTTTGCCTACCTGGGCACTGGATTGGAACTACTGGCTGGATCCAGCCAATGAGCAGACTGGACACAGCGAATCTGGCCTACCAGGGGAAAAGGGTTGGACATCACTAATCTAATCCAACCTCCAGCATAGTAACACAGGCTGTGGAATCCTCCCACCTCAACCACAATAACTTGTGGAACTAAAGCATGGCAATTAGAAAGATACTGTAAAATGGGAATATCCTGAAAAGTAGATAGCTGCACGGTATGAAATTTATATTAGCAAAAACCAATTCCCATCTAACTCCTGTAAGAAGCCCTACAGACATCATCAGGTGTGCCTTGTAAATGAGTTATGCATGCCATTTATCCATTGCTTTGAGCCCTTGAAAAACATTGCTGTGCATCTGTTCCTTGGCGATTGTCCCATTTAAGCAAGGGTGCCCTTTATCTGAGTGATGATTAATTGGATTCCACTGATTAGTTGGTTTCTTACTCTGTGGAGGGTTAGGGAGGGATGAGAACAAAGTATGTTTTTCTCTATTGCTTAACTGTCCTATCTGTTTGTTTGATATATTGTTTTTAAAGTCAGTAACTTAAAGCCTTTCACATGCCTTTTAGATCTGTTATTGATCTCAGTTTCCTAATCCAGCTGTATGTTGCAGATTGATAATAATCTATGTTTCAGTAATAGATAAGAAGTAAACAATGCACCGGGTATATGCTAGTAAAGGTAATATCTCACATCTACAAAAAAGGTTTAATATCTTTTTGGATGTTATTAGGAACACTAAGACCTGCAGGAGAAAGCTATTAATGTTAAAATCAGAATTTATATTTGCCAGTACGAACACATCATTCCTTTCTGCTGCAAAGCTTAAGGAGATCGTAGGAGGGGGGAAATTATTTTCTTTGATTAGAATGATGCAGAAAACTTTCCTTGTGTCTTGTATGAATAGTAATGGGGAAAATATAGAAAAGTATATTTGAAAAGTAGAGGTGACAATCATGCTGCCAAGTCCATTCTGGCTAATCTCTAATACAATACATGACTGTGCTGTGTAGCCTTATTTCACTTTATATTAACTAAATATGCTTTTTAACCTGACTCTACAACATTTTGAGGGATATATTTTAATCTCTATATGTTTCTTTAGAAATTGCTCCTAAGATTTTAACCAGACAGGATTTGATTTAGGTATACACATGAACTGTGGTTATCGTTTTCCTGAATAATGTAATTACTGGTGTGTGAGTTTAAAAAGTTTGTGAAAAATTATTTTGCTTAAAGAAAGTCATTTCATAACAGCTTGGAGAAAAATCTTTCTATATTATACACAACGATGTTTAAGAGGGTTGTTTCTGCCTGAAATCTTTTCTGTTTATGTGCTGTAGCCTAACACTGTTACTCCCTTCAACCCAAGCATATGCATACACACACAAGCTCATTCCTTCTTGATGTGGCATCTTCATGTTGTTGCCTAGATGGCATATTTTCTCCTGGCTACTGGCAATTTTTCCCAACCCTAAGAAATTCACTCCACTCGCTCCCATTTTTTAAGGAATTTCCTAAAGAGGAAGCTGTTTGCTGTACTCTTAAATGCACTTCTCAAATAAAGCTACTTATCAGATTGCCCCAAGGTGCCTGGGACTTCTATAGAAGCTAAGCACAATCCTGATCTACAAGGTCCTCATTCTGCAAGTGGATCTGCATGTGTAGATGCCTATCCCAGTAGAAAACCCGTTGATTTAAGAGGAGCATCACATAAGTACAGGGGTCGATTTGTATGGGCTTCCATGAAGCATTAAAACCCACGGCAGAAAGAATCCCACTGTGCCAGTTACCCTTTTTTTATTCTCCCTCTTCTTTCAGGCTCCAGATGCTCGAAGCCATCTGCAAACACTGGGAGGGCCCAATCAGCCTGGCACTCTATCTTTCTGATGCAGAGGCCCAACAATTTTTGCGCTACGCCCAGGGCTCAGAGGTTCTCATGAGCCGCCGCAATGTTGGGTACCATATCGTGTACAAGGAGGGCCAGTTCTACCCTGTGAATCTCCTGCGGAATGTGGCCATGAAGCACATCAGCACGCCATACATGTTCCTGTCTGACATTGACTTCTTGCCCATGTATGGACTCTACGAGTACCTCAAGTAAGTATACAAGGTTCTTTGGGTAAATCTGGTATCTTTTATTATACCAGCTCAAATAATTGGAAAAAAAATGTAAATGTAGCATGCGGTTCTCCCTTCCACACATACTTCCACTGTGGAATTGCCTCAAGCCATAAGTAGGGTGTAACAACAGCCTTAAGGCATTTGAAGTATGTAAATACAGTACTAAGCAAAAGAAAGGAGTTCTACAGGGCAGTAAAAGAGGCTATTAACTAACAGTGTGATAACACCGGAAAAAGGGGAAGCCATGTCTAACAGTAACATCATTTAGACTGCAGAATACTTTCTGAAGGTTAGCGGTGGGAGCAAGTTGTGAATTAAACTTGATCGAGCACAATTAAATATACGGCAACATCCTTCATTAGCAGGGAGATGGTCTGGGTGACCTATAGTCTTTTCTATCCCTAATATTTATGGTTCTGTATGTCTGTGGTAGAGGAAAAATGCAACATGTTATTGAAGTTGTTCTTCCTGTGACATATTGTTAACCCAGCACTCTACCTTGAAAATAGGGTTATGCTCCAAGCAGGTTTAATGTATGATTATAAGACAAGAGACCGTCAAGGCAGAATAATTACTGTGCTGAAATTGGGAGGGGTAACCTCAGTATGCATTGTATAGTAATGAATGTGAACAAGTTAGGCTGAGCAAACTCTAGACCCTGAGCATTTAACACAGTCTCCTTTAATTGAGACCTTTCCCCTCTGCAGGGAGAGGCTGACCACCATAGTCTAGTGCGTGGAGCAAGGATGACACCTTGTGGCCAAACCAAAAGGTTTCATTTCCTTTTACCCTGTTGATTTTCCTTGCCCCTTACTCTTATTCTCACTTTCATTCATTTTCGCGATATTTAAAGTGTTCCAGCAAAGGATTTGACTCTGCACAGATATTCAGTGCAACTGCCCAGGCCAGGGCACTTTGAGTATTAGAGAAATACGCATTTCCATGTATGGGATTTGTGAAGAAATGCTTTCTTTCCCTTTAAGTTTGGAACTCAGCAAATTTCTTCTCTTCTATTGTGAATTGAAGTATTTGGCATAGAAGAGATCAGTGCATGGCTTTGCAGTCCTATTCTGAGGTTTATTCCATTTGCCCTACAAATATTGGGCCAGATTCACTGTGGTTGCATGTATATTTTACTCCATTAAAGTCAATGGACTTGCACCCTTGGGTGTCTGCTATCAGTTTGACCCCAGGTTTCTTGCCTAAGCATGTCTTTTTGTGCCTTCTTGGAGAGTGAGATCCACAAAGTAATTCCGCCCCTGACACCCAGGCAACTGTTCCTAGGGTTTGCAAAGAGGACTGTTGTTATTGCAAACTCTTATTTACCTTGGTGTTGATTGATACACAGAATCACAGAAAAATTGGGCAGAGAGAGGCTTCCAGAGGGCCTGTAGATCATCCGTGTGTAAACCATCCAAGGGAAGTATTTGTCAAGCTTGCACTTAAAAAGTTACAAAGACAGACATTCCACTGCCTCTCTAGATAATAATTTCCATTACTTAACCACCCTCATGGCTAAGTCTTCCTTCTTGCAGTTCAAGCCCATTACTTTTCATCCTGTCCCCTATGGACACAGAACAATTGATTGCTGCCCTCCTTATAACAACCTTGTTTTTTTGTATTTGAAGACTTCAGTCTTCCTGTGTCTACAGAAAATACTCCCAAGTCTTTCAACCTTTTCTCATATGCCCCATGCTTTCTGTAGATTGAGTCCCAGTCACAACTGTGACCATGGCCCTGTGGCTGTGATAATTTGCACAGTCCAAAGGAAAGCACCTTATTCCTCCATACCCCCCTGGATACCATAAAGGGAGCCAGCACAGAGCAAAAAGAGAGGAGGAATGGGAGAATGATGGAAAGCAATATGTTTGAGCTTTTAAAATAATTGTGAATTTGTAGCACTTAACTAACTGAACGGCCCACACCTAGCGGAGCTGTTAGGAAATGACAGTTACACAAAATGCAACACCTGACAGAATGTGATGCTCCACAAGCATTTTTTCAGACCTCAAATCACCCAAATTCTGATTGCAATTCTTTTCTGCTTGGGTAGGTCAAAACTGCCAATGACACTCTCAGAAGGAGCATTTTCTGTAAATGATTTTTGTTAAATGATGAGCATTTTAAAGTAAAATTGTGTGGCAGGCTGCAAGTCTGCTTTAAATAAAGATGGTCCCTTGTATACTTTTTCACTGACAGTTCCTACCAGTGTTTCTTGTGGATAGTTAATTAGTGATATACATCTGAATCACAGAGATTGTCCCTTAGAGATGCACATGCAGTAATAGCAGCAGGCAAATAGAAATCATGTGTGGTGTTCATGGCATGGCTTTGTAAAGGGAGAAATCCTTCTCTGTTGGTAACAGATTGATTTATCCATGCCCTAGATGCACATCTGCAGCATAGATGATGAGGAGGAGGAGACCAGGTGAAACATTTTAAAATAAGGTGAAGAATGGTAAATGAGGGGAGACATTTGATATCATGAAGGTAACTTTTCAAAAGCACTTTATGTACAGTGACTTTGCCCAGAGTGGGGAAGGCTCTGACACTTGATCATTACTTTAGATGCATTTTTGCCAACAGCTACAGTGTTTAAACTAGTTAAGCTATTTTACAGGTATTTATATAGGGTCATTTCAGTATTTTTAATCTCCCTCAAAACGCTTCTCCCCCTGCCCTTCTTCTGTAGAATATGAGGGGAAAGAAATACATTGTTCTGATGCTTTCTATTCAGAAAGCAACAACGCCTTCCTAGTTTGTGCTGAGGAGGAATATTCTGTTATCTGCTGCATTCATTCGGTTGTCATTCAGATCATCTTGTCATTACCCCAAATCCCAGTGCCTCTTTTGGTAGCTACAAGTATTGTATATGGGTCATCCTAACAGTTTTTCCCTCATAAAATAAGTTGATGAAGTCTTTCCGTACACTATCCACAGCTGTAGTGTAGTATGAAAGTTGCTTGCTGCTGCAGCTAGTGTAGAAGTTTCCTCCTGACATGACTGGCTAAAATGTACTTTGCACCTCCAGCAAGACGTTAAACGCAAACTGAGAGTTGATATCCTCATTGTATTTCCCTGTATTCATATCTCATGTGGAATGTGAAATATTTTTGGCTGCCATGAATGGGGGTAATACCTCTTTAAGAGAAAAGCTTCCCATTGTAGTCCTTAGTTCTAGATGTTGGGTCTGTTAGTACTAGTTTGGGGGGGTTAGTTTTGGTTTTCTGAAAGGAAGCAATCTAATGGAGTCAGCACAAGATTGGGAACTCTTCCATTCTAATCCTGGCCCTGCCACTGGCTCATAGATTGATCTTGGACAAGTCACTTCAGACCTGATCTAAAGCCATCTGAGTCAACGGGAAGACTCCCAATGAATTCAACAGAATTTAAGATCAGGCTGCTAACCTTCCTGTGTCTTAATTTCTTCATTAAAAATAGGGATGTTCAGACCACTTTACCATACAAGGGGAAAAATTCTTAGTTAATTATCCTTTAACACACAGTGAGTGTGTCTGTATGAGAAGCTAAAGGCACGGTAGACTATTTCTACTGTGCATTAGCACATCACGGTGAAAGCCATGCTAATGTGCAGAATTAGTGTACCACACATTAGTGTCATGTAAAAGACATGTGCCAGCACTGCTGTGCAGTAGTGCTGCTTACAGCGCATTAAATTAGTATCTATTATTACAGGTACTAACTTAATATACTGTTATTACAGCATATGTGTAGACATGCCCAGTGAAGAAGGAAAGATTTATATCTGCATTTTGGAGTTAGTTCAACCTCTGAGGATATTCTTGTGACTATAAATCCTTTTCCTCCACACCTCACAAAAAATGGGAATGAAAAATGTAATTTTACATCCTTTCTTAGGTCTGATTATTAGTTTATAAATGTAACCCAACCCTCACTATGTCTGAATGACATATCATGCAGTAAAGGCTGAACAGAAAGATGCCTGGGAAACAGTTTCCTGGACGACACTAACAAAGAAAAAGCTCTTCACAAAATCATGTATTCTTATTTTTGGGGCTTGGGAATAAACACATAGTAGAAAATAGGTGCTGATGTACTGAATCTGGAAAAAAAAAGCAAAACCTTTACAGGTGCAGTGCATAGATTCAAGTCTCTACAAAGTTGGTTATCAAATATACAGCTTTATAATTACCCTTCTATTACAGACATTCAGCGGCAACTATTGTAGAAATCTTTCAAGTTCAAACTCCTTGGGGCGGGGAGACGCGGCTTCAAAGAAAATCCAAACTGAAACCTATGTATAGGTCCAGGGAAGAAGAAAAACAAACCTGCTAGCCTACTTCATGTTATGAAGAGGTTAGACTGTAATTAGAACAGTGACCCTATAAAATCAGTGTCGAAAAAAATATTTTGATCAGTACAGCTGAGCATGTGAAGTGAAGGGAGAAAGCCAGCTGAAGGTCTAGTGATAGTTCAGTATGCTACCCTAAGTCAAGACATTTTTCATTATTATCATCATCTTCATATACTATTAGAGTTCTATCCTGCCCTATCCAGAAAGGCTCAGAGTGGCCTACAATAAAGGATTACTACCCTCCTCAATTACTCAGTTTTACTCTTCTTTTTTATGATATCATCTCATTGGTTCTTTAGGTTTCATTTCTAAATAGCAACAAAAAGGTGGTATGGGGGAGAGCTTTCTCTATTTCTTCCTTTCTCTTTCCCAGTTCTCAATACTCCAGGGGTGTAACAGAAGTACCGACTCACTGTAATGTCGTTTGCACGACTGTGTGCCAACAAGGTATATCAAGCCCAGGAAGTCTTAAGATATCAGATAGACTAAATTAGTGCCTTCAATGCTGTGAGAATAAAAGAAGGTGCAAGTTAAAGCAGGGGGAAGAATCATTAGAAATCGTATAAGCACTCGATTTTGTCACTCGGTGGTTCTGGCAGGTTGAGGAGGTTGGTTGTAGAGGAGTTATCTGTTTATCTGTAGATACCGTAGACATTAGCAATGAGGAAGGAAACAAAGGGAAAAGTACAGAAAAGTTATAATGAGAAGCTGATAAAATCCATCAGCTGTGTAAAGTTTGTTGAAATGTGGCACTGGCTCCTTAAAAAATGAAAACTTTCAGGTAAGTTATGAAGAAGTCTCTTTTTATACAACAAACCTATAGGGAACCCTGTGATACAAAACCAATCTGAATTCCCTGAAACTCAAATTTTATTAAATCTTTCCTCTTCTCTGATTGCAGCAGAAATAAATTTTAGATATTCTAGAGCCTTAAAAGTGGTTTGTTGGTTCCCTTTTGGTGTGATGACAGTGATCCCAATTCCTTCATCTCATAAGGCTGTAGGTAGTTTGTCGCCTGTCTTCATAGTCCTTGATTGCTCATTGCAATACCATAAAAGTCAGTACAGTAAATCCTGTTAAGGGGAACTGAATCTGACAGAGGGAAAGAGGCAGATTTTTATATGAAATATAAAGATAATAAAAGGAAACTTGAGGCAAAGTTGTTTTGACTGGCAAGTATACTACAATTCAAATTTGGGGTAGCAGGGACTTTTTTGGATTTTATTTTCTTAGGAAAGTACAAATAGACCTGTCTGGAGCTGGAAATAGTGCAGGCAGGTGCTCTGTTAGACTGCTCTGCTTTTGTTATTATTTGTTTGCATGTAGTGCCCGAAGGTCCCAAGCAGGATGAAGGCCCCTTTGAGTCAGGTATAGTAAACACCCATCAAGTCTCTGCCTTTACTGACTGCCAGCTGGAGTACACAGACAGACCTAAAAGGATGCAACCTGTACCCAGCTGCTCTGTACAAAAAGCACTTGTTTGTACTCTTTGTACTTGGTAGTAGTAGTAGTACCAGCAGCCACAACAGTACCTGGTTGTACATAGAGGCTCCACAATGGGAAAGAGAGTCTTGACACACCACCACAGTCATTGTTGCTGCTACAACTTATACTAATATATTTAGTTTTGCTAATTTACCTTTTTGGTGATTTTCAGCGTCCCTTGTTATTCTAGTTCTGGCTTCCCACCTGATTTTGACAGACCAACTCAATTCTGAGTTTGTTATTCTAAGCCAGGACTTCCCTCTGATCAGAGATTCACAATTGTATCATTAGGGTTTTCTGACACCCAACCCCCAGTCTGTATGGTGGATGAGTTTTAAATGAGCATTAAAATAAGGATGAAGGACTATCTCACTGAACCTGTAGAGGGCAATAATACAAAAGTACAGAACAGAGTTTGAGCAGTGACCCTCTTTCTTTAAAATTGGGGATAAAATTTAGACAGGCTTACAAAGAATTATTCCCCAAAAATCACTTTCAAACGTTAGATAATGTAAAACCCAAAGCTAAGCTCCCAGCTAAACTTTACTACAGAATAGAGTTTGTCTGAATGGAAAATTGTTGTTAGCTGTTTCCTTAACCTGTAGTAAAATACAGATCAAAGAGCTAGGTCTTCAACTCGCCCTCAATATTCTCTAAAAGGGAGCAAGAAATTGGACCTGGTCAAAATGATTATTCAGATAAACCTATATATCATTGAACAGTCAGCCAGCATTGACCAGTCAAATACCTTCAATGTAAAATCTTGTAGAAGTGTATTGCTGTATTTGTTCTTAAACTGACTGGTTAAATGAGATGAGAAAAAAGCTGTGTATCCCGGTAGAATTCTCCACTTAACCTGCCATCTCTTTGTTCTTTACTTTGCAAATTTTTGTGATTTGTCCAATGTTAAATTCTCCTGCTTGTATTCGTTGCTCTTCTCTGCCAGGAAGTCTGTCATCCAGCTAGACTTAGCCAATACCAAGAAAGCTCTGATTGTACCTGCTTTTGAGACCCTTCGGTACCGCCTCTCCTTCCCCAAGTCAAAAGCAGAGCTGCTATCTATGTTGGACATGGGAACCCTCTTCACATTCAGGTAACAAAGAAGGGTTTGTTTTTTTTTATATATTGCAGTCCTTTGGGTTTCTTTCTGATCTGTGTACATCTGAATCACCCCTCTTGTGGCCAGTCAGTAGCTTGAGTTTCCTTTAAGAAATATTCTGGGAGTTTTCTCCAAATCATAGTGAGGCAATGCCCCAATAGCATACAGTATACCTATGTTAGACCTGTAAATTCTATATTCTGTCTACCATTTCCATAGAGGTCATGGCCTTCCTGCTACTTCAAGCTTTTTGTTCCTAAAGTGACTTCATTTTATTTTCATGTTTTTTACTGCATTGCGAAGTGTGCGTGTGTGAATGTGAGGGAGAGGGAGAAGGAGGGAGTAATTATACCCTTTGGTGGCTAAGCACAGACCAGAGACCTTTATCATTTGTGAGACCAAAAATAGTTCTCTGTTCACTAATTGGCCTCTGAATTGACTGATTAAGCAATTTAAAATGCTGACTGGCTGTGGGTCTTTTTTAACTACTAAACAGCACAATAACTAAATAACTTTCCTCAGTGGGAAAAAAGCATCATGGTATGTTAGTCTATGTGCAGAACTAGGTGCACCTGAGTTTTAAGATCAGCTTTGAAACAGATTAACTTTGTTGCCTCAGGCAAGTTGCTTATGTTATTTCCCCTTTAAGGCTAGAGACAGACATTCAAAAAGATTGAGCCTAAATTGATTCACTCTTTGCAGGTTAGTCTAACCTGGCTAGATTTGAAACTGGACAGACATTCTTTCGGGACAGAGGAAATTCGGGCACATACCTGCAGTGACTCAGGCTAGAAGCCGGGGGGCGCTAGAGCAGCCCTCCCTTCCCTTCTGCAGGGAACTGAGCTGAAGAAGGAGTGGCCAGGCCCCAGTAGGACTATTGCATTAGGCAGGTCTGCCTGCATGGTGGCAGACTTTTCCCTGCTGGCTGCTCAAGGTACAGGAGTGTTGCCAGCCCCGGGCTAGCACTCTGAGGCAAGTGGGTGGGGGACGGGAGCCAGTGCATGCATCTGTTGATGATATGGAGCTTTTCAGTCTCCCTCCCTGCTTCATCATACTGTCTGCAGTAAACTGACAGGCAAACAAGCCAGCTGGGGGCTGATAGTGATAATGATCTTTATCACCTGATTAGCAAAACAATGGCCTCTCTCCATTACTTCAAACTTTTTAAATGGCTTACCTACTGCCTGACCTGTTGATTAGCTCCAAACAGCCTTAAGCAGTCACTGTTCTGTCTGCCTGCCTTAGTGAAACTGGGGAGAGACGCACACAGAGACACCTTTTGACATTAGCTAGCATACCACATGCCTAAGGTCAG